CGGGGTTGGGGGTTGGGGAGGGCTACACGGGATCGGGGAGTTCGGAGTCCGGGAGCTGCGGGTTGCGGGCTGGGCCCGGGGGACGGCGGACCCGCGAGTTGTCTCCGCACAAGCCGAGGTCCGCGCGCGGGGTCCAGCTGGAACCCGCTGCCCGCTGATTGTGTATCGGATCCAGTTGCGGAGAGGTCGACGAGGGAGGGTCGAGGTTCTCGGCCGAGGGCCACTAAACTCGTTTTCTGGGATAAGTTGGAAATGCCTTGGGTGGCTTGGTGGTTTCTGGGAAGTGTGTTTTGTTTCTTTGACTTACGGGCTAGTTTGGCCACGGAGTTCCAGGTGAGGCCGTGCGGCCCCAGACGCCAGGACCTGCGCGGTCTCTCGGTGCTCCCAGCGGGTGACCCACCCGGCGCTGCTTCCCACCCGGCTCTTAACCGGAAGAGAACCGGCGGCGTGGAAGGCCCGGCCTTTTAGGGTCAGTCCTTGGTGCTTTAACCTTCGCGTGGTTTTCAGATAGCCTGCAGTGCTTATATCTTACTGTGAATTTAAATTTGTGTTGGAGTGATTTAAAGTTATGTCTAAGAGTTTAGCAGAGCCCGTAGTGGACAAAGTGAGAGAGGTAGGACCAGGCCTCAGCTTCTCCACGGGAGTGTTCACTCCTAGAGAACCCTTGTAAAGAGCTGCTGCCACTGTTCTGTGTGTGTGCGTGTTCCTGAGTCAAAATGAGGGACTCCATTAACACATTGGGAAGCGTCTGGCACTTCACCCGACTGGAGAATTCACAGAAGTAGACAGTGGGTGCTGAGTATTTTATTGATTGAGGGGTTTTGTTTTCATTTGCCTGTCCTAATAAGAAAGGAATATGTGCCGTCTCTTAAACCGTAATCACTGCATGGTTTGATTTAAAGTATGTTAAGAGGCCCACTGTCTATGGCACTCTTTCTCGCCCCCCTCCCAAATAATATGGGAAGGTTTTATCTAAGTGGTAAGATCTGAAATATGTTGGGAGTTCATGTGAGTTACATAGATACAGATACACATTTCCTGCCCACGAGTTCTTTTAAATATCCCTTAAGTCTCATCCTACTCCAAAATTCTGTGATTGTGACTGAATAGATTTTGGTTTCACATTTTTGTTTTGCCTGTTATGTAAAATTAGTTCTTTGAGCTGCATGAATAGCCACAAGGGATGACCTTATTCCAGCAGTAAACCTGAAGCCTTGCCCTTCACTGGCAGGTGTCACAAGAGGAGTTGCTGGAATAAGTTTTGTCATGTCAGAACGGCTGCATTGTTCTTTATTAGAAGAGCTTACAAGCATTAGGACTTGAATATTCTGTTTTATGTTTTAAAAATGAAGAGGAAAAGTTCATAACTTCTCTACATTGTAATAACTTGGAGTATTGTGTGTGTAACTAGCTTTTTAATATCTATTGCATCATATCTTTTAAGTTTTATATTCAGTTAAAATCTAACTTTTAGAAAAGGTCTATTAACTTGTACTTAATTCTATTTAAAATAATGTTTATTTTAATGAATAATTTCACCAAAAAGCATCTTTTCTAAAAATATAACAAACTTCTAAATTACTAATTCCGCCTGCACTAATGATTGGAAACTACTTACACCTTCTTCTGTGCTTGAATACTTGGTAGGAAGCATAAATAAGCATGAACAGAAATTTTTTGATACGAAAGATTGTGTCATTATGTAATTAAGTATGACACTTTTAAACCATTGATGTCAACTAGATGGCTTCCTTTCCCTTTCCAAATGAAGAACTGTCACTTAGGAAGTTTTAGATTTTATGCTATTTAATCTTACCCTTGCTTGTGGGGGTTTGTCAGTTGCCCCAGCTTTGCAACCAAATTCTTCAGTAGATTTAAGATCAGAATGTTTTCAGTTCATAATTTTGAATTTACATTGTTAGTCTCATTTCAGGCCGTATTAGTTCTCCCTCTCTCTTTGTCCATAGAACCTTACTACATGCTACAGCATGTGCTTTTAAAAACTAGAGCATCAATTCAGCTGAGTTGAGATTATTTTTACACATGTATTTCCCTTCCCCAATTTACAGCCTAGCTCATGCCTCACACATAGTAAGTGCTGAGTACAAACATATAGAGACGTCCAGTTTTACAGTAGTGGTCCCTAACGAAACACGCATAAGTCAGCTTTTTAGAAATCTACATACTCATGCCCTGCCTCTAGAAGTTGTGGTTCATTTCAAAAGTGAGTGTTTCATAATTTGAGGCATATTTGCTTGTTCAAGTACTGGAGAGAAAGCTTGGTTCAGCCATGGCACTCACCCTGCAGCCAGCCCACGCTAGTATGGGTGGGACATGCTCTGAGTCAACAGATCTGGCTCTGTACCACTGACTAGCTGTGTGACCTTGCACAAGTTAATTAGCGTCTCTGCCTTAGTCCCTACATTTGTAAAGGAGAGACATAATATGTCTACCAATTAAGATTGTCATGATAATTGACTGCAGTGTGCTTGGAGCTATAATTGGCACATAGCAAGTACATTACAAGTGCATGTTAAATAAAATACTTACTTGACATTTTGTGTCAGGTACTAAGGATTCAGTGATGAACTTGACAGATGAGGTCTGTATAGCACTGAATGTTTAAATAATAATATAATCAGTGCTAATGTCCTGTACTGAATGCTCTGCATGCTTTGGCTAATTTGATGCTCTAATGACCCTGAGGTGTCAGCTCTCAATTCCATTTCACAGGCGCCTAAACCAAAGGTTTAATAGTTGCTACTGGCCCCAGGTCACATAGCTATAAGTAGTAAGGGAGTCTGTCATACAACCAAGATCTCTTACTCTCAAGCAAGCATGTTTCCCATAGCTGTACTTGTTTTAGAGAATGGAATTTCTATAAGTAGGAGTATTTTAAAGGACTAAGTCAAAGTTACTGCTTTATATGAACCCTGGAGAAATGATCGAGTTCACATCTCAGTGAAGGACTGCTAGAGATTAGCTGGCCAGGGAGCTGACTTTTGAGAAGGACACCCCTCAAATAACTGCAGACATTTTAACCGACTTGAGAAGGGTGTTTTTCCTCCCACCAACTGCCACTGTTACAGAATTTAAAAAAAAACACAAAACTTATAATCATTAACATACATACTCTCTCAGGATATTATGTTCTTTTTTTAATTTTTTTTTTTTTTTATCCTCACCTGAGGAGAGTGGAAGGGAGAGAAAGAGAGACATTGATGTGAGAGACATCGATTGGTTGCCTCCTGCTCAGGGATCGAGCCTGCAACCGAGGTATGTGCCCTTGGTTGGAATCAAACCTGGGACCCCTTAGTCCACCAGCTGGCGCTTTAACCACTGTAACCACTGAACAGGACCAGCCAGGGCTCAATATATTATGTTCTAATGCTCTTGTAGACTTTTTCTCTGGACCACAATTGGCTTCTGGGGTAAGCTTCTTGTTTTAATAATTGGACATTTCTGGGCCTCTCCAGAATAAATGTGGGCATCTAGTGCTGCTAGAGCTTATATTGTTTAGTAATACATTGTTTTTCTTTGAAAGCTTGGCCTCTCGTCATATTTACTAAATGAAAAAATTGTGTGATTGGAAGTTACTTAGTGTGAAAAGTTTTCTAATGAAGTGCTTTGAGTTAGTAGAAAGTTTTTTTAATGATTCAGGGAACTGTTTTATCAAAGGGCAGCTTGATGAAAACTGACTTGTGGGTGCTCCCATGGGAGGCAGTGACCTGCTGTGTGCCCATGACACACGTGATCGCGTGTGACAGACCCTCCAGCCTAGGGCCAGAGCCAGGTGAGGGCGTTTCAGGCCTGAGGAAGCCTATGCACAGGGCAGGCAGAGGCCCACGTACACAGTAAGTTGGGTCAGTGTCCAGTGTCTTTCTGGCTTCAGTGCCCATGCTTTACCACACACTTTTGTTTCTACCTGCCAGGTGTGCTTTTCCCTGTGGTATGCTTACCCATCTTCTCAGAAAACATGTGTTTTAAAATCTTTACTGTGTCAAAAACAAGTTATGGAATCATTTTCTCTAGGTGTTTTAAATGAAATATTCAATTTATTGGAAATGCTTTTAGTGTAATCTTGCCTGAGTATTCCAGAGGTGGGTTAAAAATTTGTAAATCAAAACAGACCAAAAATTGCAATGGTTTCCTTGTTTGCCGTAGTTTGCTTCATTTTGGTGTAGCAACTTTTCTTTATACATAGATTTTTGTATTTCCTTTACCAGAGGCTCAGGAGAAGATGTGAGGTTTCTGGCTATACTCTTTGCTTTAGGCTGGAAATGTTGGCTCTAAAGATTTTGTTAGTCTCAAGGGTAAAATGAATTGGTTTCATTGAAGACATTTACTTTTCCAGGGACAAAGGTTTTAGAATGAAAAGCTAATTGTCATCTGAGTGTGCTGCCTTCAAAGTGTGCCTGAGTCATATTTACACTTAGAGTGATCAGAGCCAGGTGTGGAAATGCTTGCTTGGTAAAGGGCATGCAGGAGCTTGTGGCAGCAGA